ACTTTCTGTACAATTAAATAGGAAAATCTACAAGGGGTATGCACATAGGAGCTCTTAGGAATAGATAAAATCTGGGCCACATTGTTAAGGGACAAGACATTGTTGCTTATGTACAAGAGGGTGTTTCCAGCTACCTGTAGTGCAGACTAGAGTGCAGTTTGCATTTGTTACATTAATTAAGCAATTTACTGGAATTTAGCATGTGGTGGATTGGCAGGAGGCAACTCTAACTTGGGTTGTGCAGCTGAGATCCTTTCATTGCACTGACAACCCTGAGTCATGCCAACAGAGCAGCACACTCATTGATGCATTTCTGTTGGTGGCTTCTGTGCAAAGTCAAACTTAAATAATGTCATTAGGGCCTGACAAAGAGAATTGATAAAATTGAACAAGATCTACATTACTTAAGATGTCTGTTGTGGGCAAGATATCCCAAGTGTGGTGATAAGTAAGGGGCTCTAATTCAGAGTAGCTTCTCCAGGCTAGTAAGACTTCTTCTATTAGTTATTAGCCTCTAATTATTTTATTTTTTTAATATTTACATGGGAAATGTTTCTATTTTTATTGTCTGTATCTGCTTATTCACATTGTTTCAAGGGTTTTTTTTCTCAATAGGTTTATTGTTTAGGTTTTGCTGTAGTCATTAGCATTTAAATCTATAGGTTGTTCTGAAGTTACCATGGCCTGTGTTTGTGAATGTTGGCTACACAAACTTCTAGCAAGTGAGCAATTCTGTGACTTGAGCTAGTGGTTGGAGATGAAGATGAACCCATCCTACAGCACTATGGAATCTATTTTGTGGCTGAAAGCCACTTGTTTTTGGAAAGCTGTGAAAGCACAAGACTTGTGCTTGCTAAATCATCTTAAACCAGACCTTTAAGTTTTGCTGTTCCGCGGCAGAAGTTTTGGAAAGCTGCATGCTCAACTATCTTCTATGTTTCCTTTCATGCATTAAAAATGGATACTTGAACAAGGCCATCAGCTCTAAGTCTACAAAAAGGCAACTCCTTATTCGGGAGTATTTAAGGCTTTTATACAGTGCATAGGCAGTGTGGGAGTTGGTTCTATGTATCAAGACTACACTCTGACCTCTTTTTCCTTCTGCATTCAAAACCTAATGTCACCCTACCCAGGATTATCAGGCTCTGCATTTGAGTATCAAGACCAATGGACTAGTGAGAAGACCTGTGGGGAAACAAGGCAAGTCCAAAATGAGATGAGCCTCCAGTCTCTACCTGTATTTATTCTGGTTTACAGTGGGGTTCTTTTGGCAAGGGGATATAAACTGCTCTGAGCTTTGGCATACTGTTTCAGACAGGGAGGATATCTAGGACAGGAGATGATCATGATGGCTTTGCAAGATGAAATGCCTCCTGTCCTATCTGTGTGCTGCTGTTATTCACAAGAATTCTAGAGGCAGCTGTGTGGTTTAGTCTGTGGATGAATTAACATTTTAGTTTTAGTACATCCTAGCCCCTAATTATACTGAATGACTTTTGGAGAGAGAATCTGAAAAGTTACCTGTTTCCCAAGAATAATAGTTTTGGATTGAAATAAATGGCAAGACAACAGTGACGCTGAAATCCTCCAGAGCAGAGATTAGCCAGTCACCAATTCTAAATACTGGGAACTCATTTTGAACTTTTACACTAGTATTTGGTGATTTCTTATCCTAACAGAAAGCACTTTCATTTGTGATACCCTTATTTTCCTAGAAGCTATATCTTGCTCCTGGAGAAAACAGGTTGTAGGATCAAAAGATCTAGAAAATCAGCCTTGTTGTTCTCTGTCTGCAAGTTTCCATTTCAGGCTGTAACTCAGCTGTGTGGTATATGTAAAAGTGAAAATTCAGAAGGAATAGTTCAAAGTTTTACTCCTTGCTTTCAGACGCTGCAGAATTCTGTTCTCTTTATATCCAGTGCATTCATTTAAATACCTCTCTGTATTAAACACCTTCACTGTCTTCTGGTACTCCCTCCTATTTCTTCCATTGCCTGTGATATCTTAAGTGTAACAGTGCTGTTGTGTAATGTGCAGTCCAAATGGCAGTATGTCCTCAGTCCAGAAAATAAACCTAGAGACTGTGACCCTGTCTTGCCATTTGTCTCTCAAATCTCCTGTGGGTAGGATACTACACACACTAAATGACTTAGCAGAAAATGAAGTATTGGGAAATTTTGTTTCCTGGAAGAGATATCAGTAGTGGCAAAAAACCCCCAAACAAACATGAAAAGAAAATCCTGTTTTGAAGTCTCTACATTCTGTTATGCTGCTCTGACGCATTAACATTCAGTTCATGGCCAGTACTGCTAGGGCTGGGTAAAATGTCACCAAAACTGGTAGATACAACCTCTGTCCTTCATTCAGAGCAGCAAAACCACTTGAGTTTCTTTACAAAACAAAAGTGACTTCAGTGTAAAACACAGTCACGAGATCCCACCAGAGCAGAGCTATGAAGTTTCCTCAGCATGGGGAAAGGGGTTTCCTTGATAGTTTCTGTACTCTGGGACAGTGGTTGGGAGTCACTGCCACCACATTTGAGCACTGTGCTCTGGAGAGGAGACAGGCCTGCTCTCCCCATGCTGAGAGGAACGTCTTTCCAGGAACCACACAGGACCTCCAGGTGAAATGCTCTTTTGGGCTGTGCCGCAGGAGGTTGGTCACTGGGGTGACTTACACCAGCGTGAGTTGATCTGTAACAAGCAAAGACTTGAGAAATGTCAGAAATTCCGATTTCCACTGCTGGGAAAGGCTGATTTGCTACTGTAGTGGGAATGATGAAAATCAGGCACATTAGGATTTACCTTCTGAGTCCAGGGGGGTCTCACTCCCCTGCTGCAGTGGGAGATGAAATCTTTCCTGAGCATTTAGCAGCTAGCATTGCCTTTGGGAAGCCGAGCAGCGGATCATGGACACTCTCTGGCAGGCATCAGGCAGCTGAGCCCTGCCTGCCTCCAGCTAGCACCAATTGCTGGTTTATTTAACCACACCTGTGGGAGTGAAGGAGAAAGTTCAGCCAGTTGTTAGGATGCTTATGGCATCCCACAGGACATTTCCACAAAATCGACAGTTGTGCTAGCAAATTCTTTCGCGCATCTGCTCTGAGGGACAGGGATGTTTAAGTTATTATCTTCAGCCAGGGACTTCAGGCTTAACACTCAGAGCACTTGTGCAGGCCATATCAATGGGCAGAGTTGCATAGCGTCAACCTGCACAGTTTGTTGTGAACAGGACTGCAGAATAATCATATTTTGAACACCTCCATGGATTTTAAAGACAATGAGCCCTTTCCTTTAACTGCATGGGCTATTCAAATACTTGGCTCTACTGGCTTCTGTAACGGCACTGCTTATGCAAGTGGTCTATATCATTTGCTTAGAATATTCATAAATTTTATTAATAACATTTTTTTTTCGATGGGTGAAAACACAAGCACTTGTATAATTTAATAAAATGTGACTTTGTTGTCAGAAGAGTGCCACTGATACATGTGGTAACTGAAGTGCAAACAGTGGCAGTAGTGTCACTGCAGAACCACACAGTTAAAGCTTTAAAATAAAGGATGGGGGAAAGTTCTATCATGGCCTTGTAAGCGAAAGATCCCCACCATGGGGCAAGACTGCTCAGCAGCCGTGGGGGCAGGGTGGCATCCCACCAGCCTCCCACTCACCAGAAGAGGTTGAAATTGTCCCACCTCTATCTGGAAGAATCTGCAACAGGAGCTTTGAGTGGCAATGTGCTGTTCTCACCAGGACATACTCAGAAAAGTTCAGAGGAGCAGAACGGGAGCTCTGGTGGTATGTCCTCTCCAGCCCAGTTTTTCTCTATGGTGGCCACTGACTGCTGAACATTTTTGAATGTTTGCTGTTTCCATCTAAGCTGTTCCTCAGCATTGTGAGCATTTTTCTACAGGCTTTTGAGTGAAATGGAGCCCCTTGCCTGCCAACTTTTGATGACCATATGGCTTTCCTTTTTCCCACGCTTTAGCAAAGCCTTGAGGAGTTCCCCAAAGAGCCTCTGCCCTTCTCTACCCCTTCCCCTCTCACTGCCCTACTCAATCTGGGCAGTAGTTAACACTCAGCTTCTGGGTGGTTTGGCTGTGTGAGTTGATAGCCTTGCTGGATGAGAAATTAGTAAGCTCTTATTCATTATTCATCTTTGCAACAATTTTTATAAAATATTATTAATAGTTTTATACCCCAGAGCCTCTTCCCACCTGTGGCATAGCTCTGCCTTGAAGACTCTTTCCTAGCTGTCCTTCCACACATTTTGAACCTGGGGTAGGAGAAACCTCCATCATTTCATGTGCCTGAGACAAGCTGGGTTGTTCCTCCATGGCATTCCATTTCACATCCATGAGGCAGCAGGTGATTGGCCTTCACATTAACTGTGTAGGGAACCTGCTGAAGTCCAGTTAGGAAATGTCATCATACTTTGCACTGCTACAGCCAATACATTCACTGGAGGGCACAACCTCATCCATGAACCACAACAGTAAAGGCATGCTGCTTTTTGAGGGAGGCTAAGGCAAACCCAGCAAGTGACATTCCACTGGAATTCTCTAGACTAACACCTCCTGATGTTGTGCAGCTGGAATGGCACAACTGCCACTGTGCAAAGCAGTGAGAAGGTTCTCCTGACCTTATAATGTTGGGGACATGCTAGAGTAATTTCTGTACCCCAAAATCCTATTTTATATTCCCTGGATTTTTTTTTTCTGTTAAGGCTTTTTAATGTTTTATAGCAAGTTATGGGTCTCTCCGGCAATAATCTTACTTGTGCCTTGTGAACTGTGGCGTGCCACATGGTGCCTTGTTTACTTACTTCTGCAATTATTCTTTACCAGATTAGAAAAATGCTCTGCTAGTATTTTGTAAGTCAAAAGCAGCTTCAGAGTTGTTAAAACTGCCTGAGATTTTACTGATCAGAAACCAACCTTTTTTAACAAGATCTCCACTAATGCGCACTGGTTTTCTAAACCCATTCATTGCATGGTCTGAATATGACATAGATCTGTAACATGACTGTGGGATAATACCTGAAGTTGTGCACTCCTGTGAAAAAGGATTCTTCGTTGAACCTGGTAAACACACAGCACAAGAGATTGGGGGTCAGCTGGGGGCTCAGAGATGGCATTACTGAGGTGCTGACCGAGTCCAGGGGACAGGTTTGCAGTTGGAGGTCTGGCCATTCAAAGGGTGTGGACTTGCTGTTGCCTTTTCACTGACCAGTGTCATCATATTGTCTATGCAGAGGACTGTTACAGTTTGAAAGCTCAAACCTGCCCCAGATAACAACGCCCAGCACCATCTATCAATGCACACAGTATTGCTCACGTGTGGTAAAGGCAAATGCGATGATGTTTTCTGATCTCTGCAGCACTGCTGTTTGCATTATGGAGGACGAGGAGGCTGGGAGTCCGTGGAGAGGTTGGGCTGGAGACAGAACTGTCAGTGATGGAATTTGAGCAGAGCTTTTGAGATGCACTTCAGAGGCAGCACTGCCCACTGTAGCATGGTCTTCTCTCTCAACAGTATGACTATGTATGACAGTATGCAGATAATATGTCAGAAATCCTATTCACCCCTTGACAATGTGGACAGTTGGTAGGGGAGACGTAGAGTTTGTTCCCTGACATTCACCAGGCCACCTTCAAGGCCTTGATGTCCATCTGCCACTGCCAGGAACCTCATGGCCTTGCTTGGCCTCTTTTTGAAGCAACAGCCTAAAAATCTTGTCCTTTTTATACTCAAACCCCAAGATTTCGTCTCTTTTGTATCTCCCCCAGGGCTAGGAGGTCTTTAGCACAGGTCCATCTACATGTATAAGAAAGAAGCCTGGCAAATGGTTTAAATTAAAAACTATAGTGGTTGTGCCAACTCCCGTAGTATGAGAGTGCCAAGATCCAGAACATGGCTGTTCACTGGCATTTGGCAAGGCGGTGACATCTTGTCACTGCTATCCTTGAGCACTGAGGCCCACACAGGTACACCAACCAGTTGGTTGGGGCAGGATGCAATGCAGTATGGGAAAGCAGAGGGAAGACTGCCAAACTTTTCCCAAAGCGAGTCACAGCCACATTTCTTCAAAATCATCTACTCCAGTGTGACATTACTCCTTATTGCAAATAGAATGAAGTCTCCAAAGCTGTTTACGAGTTGCACTGATGTGTCACATGGGTGCAGTCTTCTATAATCGGATATCTCAGTCTGCACTGGTAAGAAAGGGTGTAAACTCTCAGCACAGGAAAAAACTATCCACTTCCAGTAATGCATGGTCCTGACACAGAAAGCTGTGAGAGTGATTTTGGAGTTAAGTGCTGACTGCTGTGAAGATGCCTAGAGCTGCAGGAAAAAAACCCAAACCAAAACAAAAAAACAAACACTAAAAAACCAGAAGTCTGGTTTTACATTTAAATCCTCCTGGGTCCAGAGAAGCAGTGTTCCGTATCTTCATTATAAATAAGCTATACATCATCTACAGAGTGGAATCCATCACCAGTTTCATCCCTTGATGCGAAGAATCTGCAAGTCCACTATGGTCAACTTTATATTTGAAAGTTTTACCATGCTAGCCATGTTAGTTAACAGTTCAAGGATCCTTTTGTTGCGCTACACATCATTCATAGCTCAGTGTCATTCTGCTGTCTTCTTTCAGGCACAGGGATGGGCACCTTTTATTTCAGAGACTGCTGCAGGGCATCAGAGTTTTCTATCCAGAAGATCATGCAGATGCATTGTACTGATGCTCCTTTCCCCATCAATGTTTTTTCCACTGCCTAAACTTCCAAGCTCTTCCAGTGTTTCCCCTTCTTCACAAAATATGGCAGTCCTATGCTACTGTACAGTTGTTGGAAACATCAAAACTGTGTGCAGCTTTTACTCAGGTGAGCGTGCACTGCAACTTCCAACACAAGCTCAAGTTAGGTGGTGTGACATGGCTTTCTCCTGAGGTGGGTATTAAGTCTGGCATAAGGCTTGCTGATTGCAAAATGATCTTGCCCATTGCCCCAGTATATTCACATATCAAAACTACATTTAGTAAAGAGGTTCAAGAGACAATTATTAGAGCAGCCACAGAAAAAACCTAAAATGTCATTTTCCTCTTAAGGACATGGTCCAAGCCTTATGTCCAGCACCCATCAAAATGGCACTCTCTTCTGCTTTTGTCCATTAGTCTCCAGTAAAAATACAACTGCGGGTATTTTTCCACGTAAGAACCTTTATCTTCTGCTGTTTCCAAACTCTATGGAAAATTAAGTGCCTGGAATCAGTTATGTAAGAAAAAGGAAACTTGAATTTTATGTGCAAGCACAATCTTAAACCAAGCAAACTGTTATTTGTATTTTATTTCTCTATAAAAAAAGTCTAGGAATAAAAAGAACATTTTGCTGAATATAAAAATTACAATTTCTTTCCAAGTGTCCACACACATACTGCTTTATTTAAAAATAAATATAAAACCTGCAAAATACCTTGATTTGGTGTTGCTAAAAAACTCTCATTATAAAAAGGAGGGGGAAAAAAGGGTGAACCAGTTCCTCTTTGTTTCAAGCTTGCTGCTTTAATTTGATGTTGCATATAAAGAAACAAACAAAAATTCTAAGGAATGTAAAAGTTCCTATGCCTACAAAAGCTTTAATAATACAACACTAAGCTGAAGAACAATGATGCTGACATGAAAGGATTTTAATTTCTAAGAAATACCTGGGTAAATGAGAGTTTAGGAATACATGCATTCTATCCTCATACTTAATGATATGCAGTGGCACTGATCTTTTGCAGGGCTGATTTCCAGCGGCGTAGACCTACTAACCCAAAACGTGCTTCCTCCCCAGGGGACTGAGCTGCAGCAGCACAGGTCATCCCAGGTTAGACAGTGGGCTGGAGACTGGGTGGTAACTTAGGTCTAGGTGAAAGAGAAGAATTTGGATTTAACATGATACACTAAATATAATGCTATGTTTAATACACTGGTGTTGGCTCCTGAGGAGGAACTGCATTCTCCACTAACTACAATTTCTACATCATTTAATGGAGAAAATTTCCATGAAAAAATGGTAAAAAACATTTTTAATACCCACAGTTCATTAAGGTACTAACAAAATTGCTGCTTCTCAGGTTCTTTATCACTGCATCTTTCTTAGACTTGTATCCTAAAGGTTCATTTTTCCAAATGGCATAATTTTGGCAGAGGATAAGGTCAGTGCACTCCCAGATTGCATACTGCCTATCCCTCCTGCAAACTTTCGGGGATATGCAGATGCTCAGCATCTCTGAAAGCCAGGCTTGCTATACATCTAAAACAAATGTGCAGAGCATTACAGTTACCGGAGAATTAAAAAAAATCTGTCTGCATACAAAGTAAAAATAAAACTGGGAAATTTCAAAATTTCCTGAGGTGCTCTTTTTGATCAATTAGAACTTTGGCTTCATTTCAATTGAGGCATTTCTTTTATAGTACAATGCAAAATATAAACTACATTGTGAATAATATAAAAGCTTTTTTTCCAGACGGGAATGCTGGAACATTTCCATTGTTTTTTTCTCAAACATTTTTTAGCAAGTATGATTTTATGAAGCAGTTAATCTTCAGTGGAGCTGTATTCTCCAACAGAAAAGGGGATTGTTGTTTTGTTTGTAGTAAAAAATATGTAGTCCTGTAATTTTCACATTTAAAAGTTCTGTAGTTCTACTTGAATCTTCCCATTTTTTTTTACAAAAAATTCAAGTATGCCCTTTGTAATAATTCCCAGTGGGACCATCTACTCATGTTAAACCATCTAACTTGGGTCCAGTCTGGGCTGAATAGTTGTATGTTTTTCATGTATCTGCGTACTTCTGCAAATGCTAAAACAAAGTAAATATTGGTGTTGATGGAAGAAAAAGCACAAATGAAATGACAGTCTATAAGATCATCACCTCTGCAGAGATGTCAAAAAGGCAAAGTTCTCTTATGTGTCACAGTAGAAGAACTGATGGCACGAAGAAGTGATCAGATGGAAGGTTTAAAATGAGAGGGGAAAATAAAGAGGAAGTTTTCCCACAGAAATAATAATTAAACTGAACTCATTGTGAAACACGATGTAACCCAAGAGAGTAAGTCAGTTAAAAATGGTTTGGATGAATTCATGGAGCACAGGCCTGATTGGTGGCCATCAGATACTGGTCTGACCACAGACTCTGGTGAGGAGGTCCCCAAGCCCCATGCTGGGGCAGGCCATCCCCGTGAAATCTGGTTATTCTCACACTCCTCCCAAAACCTTTGGTACTGGCTGCTGCTAAAGGTAGGACACTCATCGTCTTTGCAAAAATCCAGCCAAATTCTACAAACAGCAGCTCCTAGCTCTATCTACAGAAGTCTGGGTATGCACACTGAACCATACACCGTTGGGAATCCAGATACACGTTCAGCTTGAACAAGCTGGCTTCAGAAGTCAGGAAATTAAAACGTAGGTGTCTCACAATAGTTTAGTAGGCATCTTCCTCAAAAAGATACCGTGCTAGATACTTCTTCTTAATATGCATTTTTGTTAATAATCTGTTCAATCTAAACTATAAAACGTGCTGCGCAACATGACTGAACGAATATTGCTGTGAGAAATATTTTCCCCTTGTTTGAGTAATTTAAATTTGTAAGCTAATGTAAGTTTTTGTATTAAATAATGTACTGTGTGCAGTCTTCTTTCTTCTAAAGCACTTTGAAGCTTTCAAAGGGCACTCTAGGTTAATAAATAATATGGTATTCTTTGCCAGAACTGTAGGGCATTTCCCATAAGTTCTGAATCGTCTTTGCCAGAATTGCAACATGTTGCATGCCAAATCCTGCACACAAATGTTCTACATGTGGCAAATACATATTGGTAAAGACCAGAGGCATGGCATTCCTGGATTTCTTAGAGAGAACAGGGGCAGGGAAAGAAGTGGGAGGGAATAATGAGGGAGGGCAGAGAAAAAAAAAAAGTCTATGCATACACCTAAAAAAAACAACCCCCAAAAAACACCCCCCACACCCAAAACAACCCATAACCCACACTTCGTTATTTTCAAAGACTAAGCTGATTGCTGCATGCAGCACAAACTCCCAGGTACCCAGAGCTGGGTCTTTAGTTTTCCTTCGGTTATGGAAATCGGGCCTCCATTTCTGCAATAGCTGTAGATTCTTCAAACCCAGTGTTTGTAAGGGCCAAAACACCTGCAATCCTTGCTTCTCCGAGCACATGGTAACGTAAACAGGCTGCGACCTTGGAGAAGCAGGGTCAGGATTACCACTATTTAACAGCCTGTGAGAATGAATCCTCTCCAGGGAAAGTCGTGAATGCATTTCATACGCCCTAGGCTACTGGGAATAAACCAAGACCAATATTTATTAAGAGTGAACACTTGCCTTTCTGCAGTCTCCCCACAGACAACTAGGCTCCTATTTCTGTAGCTTGGAAGAGGAGGAGTGGAAGGCAGTAAGACCCAGAAATTAAGTCGGTGCATATGGCTGCATATCATGCAGGTTAGATTACTTAAGGATACTAGGAGTTTAAGATGTCTTCAGTTATAATTTTCTTGATTTAATCTCTTTATATATTAAGCACAAAAAAGTAATTTCAACATTCCTTGCTAGTTTGGACTGAAGTCTACAGTAATTCAAAATTTTACCATTTCCTGCAACTTCACTAAATTTTAAGAGAATGGTGAGAAAAATTCTTAATCACTCAGTAACTAACTAGTTTAAAAGGTAGTAAAAACTTATTCGACCTCATCAGGGCTTAAGCACCAGGATTTGGCACATGTTTAAAAAAAACCCTGAAGTTAAAACTGAACTCCACATTCTGCAACACTAAATGACCGGTTTACTACATGGTTTCTTTTGAGGTGGCAAGAAATGACTGTAAAACCTTTGCTGTTGTCAGAACTACATTGCTTTGAGAAAAATATCCTGTGGGTTACCATTTGTTGCCATGATTTACAAAGATAAGGTCTATAGTCTGTATCAGTTTCATGCTGAAGTTTTAAAGGAAAAAAGCTTTCTGCAGAGTTTGCAGATTTCTGCATAAGTGTCTGTGTTGTTGCGAAGAGGGCTAAGTGATGCTCTCTCACAAGCTTTTCAAGAAAGTTAGCACATTTCTTCAGATTCATCTCCCGCAAGTTAAGACTCTCCCCTCCATTGCTTCTGTCTATCCAATAAAAAGCTGATATGCTATCTAAAATCAAAAGGCAGAGAGAGGGGTGAGTGCAAAACATGGTTTCTAAAGAGTAGAGAGTAAGGAGTAACTGAGTACTACTATTGCAGTTCACAAGGAAAAGCCTTCCCAAGCACTGCTTTATCATTTCTTCTGTCCTTTGCGCCATTCTGTTCTCAAGAATGGTAACTACACGAAGCATATCAAAATGGTAGTCTGTATCAATGAACATGACTTCCACTTCCAGTCCTCCTCCTGATTTCGGAATGATGCAGCGGGCTATTAGGTGATACAGCATTTCTGTTTTTCCCGTTCCTTCTGAACCATGGAATTCAATGACATCTCCTGTTCAAAAACAAAGCAGCAAGTTATTGGGTAAGAGCATTTATAGCTCAGAGGCAGTTTTCAGCGTTTACTGAACCAATAATATTCCTCTAATTGGAAAATACATTTTAGAAAGTTTGATATTGATAAAATAGCTTAAATCATGGTTAGCATATACCAAGAGAAATTTCGATTTTCAAGAGGCCTCTGAAGTGAGTAAAATCAACTTAGGAACAAAGGTTGGGAAAAAACCCTGCCCGTAGCATCTAGGGCACCCATAAATAAAAGGTTGGCAACTGGATTTCATCTATATCATTACAGGTAGATGAAGGGTGAAAAGGAAGCTGCTACACAAAAGTGGCTAAGGAGGCATCTATTTACACTATGAGCACAAAATTAAGAAATAAATTAAAAAGTAGAGGACAAAGAAAACAAGCTGACGTATTAGAGGTCCAAATCATGTTGACACATTATTTTTATAGCACAGACTGTCCTTCAGCATTTCATGTCTGCTATATGCTTCTTTGGTATCTGTGCACGTACAAGATACCAACAGGAATCTGTGACCAGTAAAGAGAATGCCAGTATATTCATTTAGCACTTACATTCTTCTGTAGTGATCATAATATGAACAGCTTCTTTTGACAAGTGGGACTCACAGATTCCTTCAAGTCCAGGCAACAACTCTAGTGTCTGCAGCAAAGGATCTCTGTTCATAAATGGACTCAGCCTAACTGCCTGATCCATGTGGGTTAATAAAATACATAACACATAAATTTAAAATGTTAATTAAAAAAACCCATTATGCTTTACTAGGAAACCAGTTCTTTAGTTCAAAGTGAATGCAAGATATGCCAAAGTATTTTCCAAAGTCTTCTGATGTTTCAGAGCAAGGCTCTCAAGAAAGTTAATTTATTAGTTACTCTTTATACATTTCTAATTTTTCAGGATTATTTATTTATGACATTTTGGATTTTAGGCAGAAGGGTAAAAACATGCAGGGAGAATCACACAACTATAATTGCAGGAAGGTGAGAGATTTCTATGGCCTTTGCAAGTGCAAATGGCATAACAGCTTCTGATAGAGGGGGATGCAAGAGTAGAGAACCAATTGCAACTTTACTTGAACACGTTCGTGCCTGCTTAACAGGGTTTTTCAAGTCAGTACTCAACTTCCAGAGGATGCCCTTCTTCATAAGCATGCATAATGCCAAGATACAGCTTGGGATGAGGGGCAAAGGGTCGTGGGGAAGGTCTTACTGCACCCATTGCAAGCACTAAATGCAATTTACACCTGATGTGACAATTCTATCCATTTCAGTGACACTCAGACTGCCCACCTCTCCATAATAAAATTCCTGCTGCTCCACAACTGTAATTCCATTTTGATGAATTTCTGATAATTTGAAATGTATTAGAAAGCTTGATTGCCAACCAAGCTTTTACTTATCTGCTCTGAATGGCCCTCCCCACTTTAGAGATGAAAGATGACCACACTTCCTATGACATAAACCTTCATTTTCTCTTCCTGTTCAGAGGTCACAATGTCCAACTCTACCACTTGCAGCCAGCAGCTGCTCTGCTGTCACACAGACTGTGCCAGTGACATAACCACACCCTGTTAGGATAAGATACCGGCTTGGAAGAACTCCTCCTAAACATGCTGGGTAGGTCATGTTTTGTCTTTTGTAATATTTCAGAACAATTGCGTAAGGCATCTCTTGTTAACGAACAAAGTGTATCTTCTGTCTGCTACTGGCTTCAGCACAAGACTTCTGCCACCCTGACTGGCATTTCTGAATCCAGACCAATAACAGAATTGAGCCAAATGCAATACAGATTGCTTCACCTACCTTTACAGCAAAAGATGACTTGTTTAAGAAAAAACAGCAACTCTGTATGGCCACTCAGAAGCAGTAGTGGGCAAATCTGAGTTACTGTTTAGTAATGATTTGAAAAAGTTGTTTTGTGAAATAAATGCTTGACTTTATCCATTTGAAGATGTTCTATCAAGATGTCTGAGTAGCACTGTTACAAGAGTAACACTGGATGAGCTTTTATTGGCAGAACTAACAAAATTATTTAAGTAAAAATTTTAAGTTGAATGAAAAATCATTCTTAGGAGGTTTTGTGGTGGTGGTTTATAAATTTTAACAGCAAGACAGCTAAGCACCCTTCAAAGCTTGTTCAACATTGCTGAACAAGATACACATCTGGGCTGCAGTTAGACCAAAACACTTAAGTCACTCTGAAAAGAGTAACAGCTTGGACTGTAAGAAAACCTCAAGAGAGCCCAGGATTTCTGTGCCTTCATGATTATCAAACAGGCTGCCCACAAGAAGAAGGGGTGCAAACCAGAAGCCATTTATAGCAACATCTATAAATACGGGGTTTCATTAAATTAGCAACCAGGCTGTTAAAGTAAGATAAGGGGGGAAATTCATCCTTCTAGATCAGAGAGGACAAACCATGACACAGCAGAGGAAGAAGTGTGGCCAGCAAGGTTTTCCAAGAAGCCTTTAACACCCTTACAATAGGTCATGGAAGAAACTTAGTGACCAGCACTAGCATCATCCATCAATGTTGAAATAACTGATAGGCGGATTAGTAAAAGATATGGTCACAGGATAAAAACAGTCTGAAGAGGCAGAGTAGGAACAGACACTTTAACATGGAAGAAAGTTAATGGGAAATATTCCTATTAGAATTGGTGGTGCCTAACGTTAAACTTATCAGTAGATGAATGAATGTTCCATTAGCTTGGCAAAATGTCTAAGAAACAAACTAACTGGGTTAATAAAGACTTAAGATTGTGAAGATTTAACAGATCAAGATGGAGAAGTAGAATGATTTCATATGAAATTCAAGTGCATTTTAAGGAGTCACCCAACACACTGCTTAGCTCACCAGTAGTTTGAACTGGCCCACTATGGGCAGACTAAAGAGTATAACAGTCCAGTGCTACGCAATGGCATACAGGATAAACTAAATGATGTTGCATAAATATCTATGGAACACTAACATATTTTTAACTGAAACACTATGCTCAGTCCTGGTCATCGATTCAGTGTTACCTCTTGAATAAGAGCTGCTTCGAGTGTTGCCTGTAATCACTACACTAGCAAGTGTTGGTTAAACTGTTTTCTGATGTGCAGTTACAAACAGGCTACTAGAATACTCAAATCACTCCACATCATCAGATACCTTGAAGTTACTGGACTAGTAATTTATAATACTGTGCAGCAGCTGTCACTAATATTGGTACCATTTAGTAAAGTAAAAGTAACAGGCCTAATATTTATGCCAAGTTAATGTAGGGTGTCATAGTACTGCTGAACATCAGAGCTTTATACTGACACCCACACCTTCATACCAGTGGCATAGGAGAAATATGACTGGAAATAGTGGAAGATTATTTAAAGCTCGTGTCATTTTTGCTCCATTCCCAGAAAGCTTAAATGGCATGTAATTAATATGCTTACGTGTTCTTAAATATTCAAGTCCATCATAATTAGAAGCAGTGACTGGAATATCACAGCAGTACCTATATTAGCTGTTCCTATTTTATAGTACTCTGACATAGAAGTTACTAATAATTAACTACAACATAACTTTTGGATAGTTTATGGAAACTTCATACATGTGTGTGTTTGTTTGAAATACCATCAGGAAAAAGAATAGTTTAGGTCTTTACATTGCTTTAATCATAGCATTTCAGATTAAGAGCTGTTCACTACGGACTTCATGGGCAATGTATTACTGTATTCCACAGTGACCTGTGAAAAGACAAGTTCATGACAAATAGAAAGGTAGGTCTTCAACAGGGATTTAAGACTGAATAATGAGAACACACCACAAAATCACATGGGCTCACATAAATATTGTGGTATTAAAAGACAAAGCAAAAACGTAATGAAAGGTGAAGTCTATTTACATATATATAGCTAAAGATCTGTGCTAATATGTTAGGTAGCTTTATTAATGTCAGCCAAAAAACACGACCAGTATCGCTAATAACTGATGCCATTTGTTAAAAGCAGAAGGAAAACAAGTGCTTCAGAAGCTCAGTGACTGAGTTGGCACAAAGAAACCAGTGATGAGTTTAGGTTTCCAGCCACCTTAGAACTGGGGTTCTGGAACAGTCATTGGACAGACATGAACAGCCTACAAAGCTGATAATTTGACAGTGCAATTATGTAATGCTGTGGACTGTGACGGCAAGGGCAATTACCCACCCCCAGGAAGGCTTCTTATGGTCTGTTCTACCAGAACATGGCCTTGTTTAATCTCAAACATTTGTTTCTTGTGTGTAAAGTTCATTAAAAAAAAAGACTGAAAGATCAGCATTTTCCATTACTGCATTTTTTCAAAACAAAAATATCTCATCTTTTAAAAAATTGTTAAGAATTCAGGAGCCTTGTGAAGCATATACTAATATCACTACTGGTTCTTAATTTGTCTTGTGAGTAACAAAGCAGTTCAGAATTGAGATTATTTAAATAATTTTCTCTGCTCCATTTGCACTAGTTTACCAGTATTTCTCTGCCCTTTATCTTTGTTATATCATATTTCAAACTTTCAGGGGCAGGAATCATATACTGCTAAACCCCTAATGTATTCTCAAGTGCTGCAAAATAATACACGAATAGTCTCACAGTGACTTCATTTGTAGACTAAGCATCATTTCTCATCCAGTTATCCTGATTATTTTTATTGCTTTTTCTGCTATTTCTTCTGAACCTTCTACAATTTGTGGGAATTTAAATTGCAGACAAGTATGTTGATAACCACTGCAGCCACATACTTTTCATATGAAACCCATTCATTCATACATACATTCAACTGTAGTACCTCACAGCATGATCCTTACAGCTTGCCATTCATATACCTTTTTTACTATGTACTTCTAGTTTTGTGTAATTAGTCTCTTCCATTGTGAAATCCATGAAATTTCATACAATCCGGAAAACCAGTCTGAATTCTTGAATAATCAAGAAATTATTGTCTGCTCATTTCTGTTTAACTCAGTAATTTCTTTCATTAAAACATCGAATCTTGATATTAAAACTTGCTAGAAGAACCTACCTTAAACTTGTTGCAGCAGTGTCATTGGGCGGTAGCCCAATTTCTCCAATTCTCATTTATTCACTGAAGGTCTATATAAGTCATTTTGATCCTAACATCATGCAGCTGATTAGTACCTATGTTCATAATGACAGTATTTCCAAAGTGCCATCTAAGTATAACAGGATTTTCCAGGCCAAGACTGAATGGCTTGATAACATGGCTTTATTGAAAAGGACTGCTTGCTCACACCCCTTTTCCTAACTGATCCAGACCACTCCATATCAGGTTCAAGATCATCTAAGGAACATGAAGGTGCAGAAGTCCATGGGATCTGGTGAGATGCATCTGCAGGTCCTGAGGGAACTGGCATATGAAGTGGCTAATCCACTGTCCATCATATCTGACAAGTCGTGGCAGTCTGGGGAAGTTCCCACTGCCTAGAAAAGGGCAAACATAACCCCCATTTTCAAAAAGGGAACAAAAGAAGACCCAGGGAACTACAGGCCAGTCTGTCTCACCTCTGTGCTCAGCAAGATCATGCAGCAGAACCTCCTGGAAAGTGTGCTGGGGCACATGGAAAATAAGAAATGACTGGTGACAACCAACATGGCTTCAGTAAGGGCAAATCATGCCTGATGAATTTGGTGGTCTTCTATGATGGCACCACAGTGCTGGTGGGTAAGGGAAGAGCAGCTGTTGTCATCTACCCAGACTTGTGCAAAGCATTTGACACTGTCCCGCACGACATCCTTGTCTCTAAATTGGAGAGATATGGATTTGACAGGTGGACCACTTGGTGGATAAGGAATTGGCTGGATGGTTGCACTCAAACTGTTGTGATCAATGGCTCAATGTCCAAGTGGAGAGCAGTGACGAGTGGAGTTCCTCAGGGGTCGGTGGTGGGATCAGAGCTGTTTAACATCTTTCTGGGTGACAAGGACAGTGGGACCGAGTGCACCCTCAGCAAGTTTGCCAACAACTTAACGTGCATGGCGCGGTCAACACACTGGAGGGAAGGGATGTGCCATCCAGAGGGACCTGGAAAGGCTTGAGAGGTGGGCCTGTGCAAACCCCGTGAAGTTCAACAAGGACAAGTGCAACATCCTGCAAGAGGTCAGGACAATCTCCAGCACAAATACAGGCTTGGCAATCAGTGGATTGAGAGCAGCCCTGTGGAGAAGGACTTGGAGGTATTAGTGGATGGAAAACTGAATATGAGCCAGCAATGTGTGCTTGCAGCCCAGAAAGCCAACTGTATCCTGGGCTGCATTAAGAGAAGTGTGGCCAGCATGTTGAGGGAGGTGATTCTCCCCCTCTGCTCCGTTCTCATGAGACCCCACTTGGAGTACTGTGTTCAGATCTGGGGTCCCCAACATAAGAAGGACATGGGTCTGCTTTAGTATGTCCAGAGGAGGCCACAAAGATGATCAGGAGCTGGAGCACCTCTCCTGTGAGGACAGGCTGAGAGAGTTGGGGCTGTTCAGCCTGGAGAAGAGAAGGTTCCAGGGAGACTTTATAGCGGCCTTCCAGTACTTAAAGGGGGCTACAGGAGAGATGGGGAGGGACTCTTCATCAGGGAGTGTGATGATAGGATGAAGGGTGATGGTTTTAAACTGAAAGAGGGTAGATTTAGATTAGATAAAATGAAGAAATTATTTACTATAAAAGCGGTGAGACACTGGCACAGGTTGCCCAGAGAGGCTGTGGCTGCCCCCTCCCTGGCAGTGTTCAAGGCCAGGTTGGACGGGGCTTTGAGCAACCTGGGCTAGTGGAAGGTGTCCCTGCCCATGGCAGGGGGGTTGCAATTATGTAATCTTTAGGGTCCCTTCCAACCTAAAGCATTCTGTGATTCTATAATTATGTATCACTGAATTATGCTGTTTATTGAACCTTAAGTTCTCTGCAAATTGTTGTAGTTATGACTTTGTGGTGGTTTTTTTAGACCACTGATTAGAAAAAAAGGTTAGATGACAGAATCTAGAACAAATTTCTGTAAAACTACCAGAAAGAGACCAATGTGTTTGCTATTGACTCACCTACACCTGTGTTTTGAAACCCATAAAGCAGATTTTAAAAACCATTTAATAATGTTTGGAATGGTGACTTTGCATTATTTCATTTTATCTAGTTTGCTAAAACAAGATCAAAAATTAAAATTCTGAATTCAGGGCAGAAATACCTACTTGTACACTTATCTTTGTTATACTGCTCTGAGAATAATTTTACATCAACATTTTTCCATAAATGAGATAAAGATACATTTTTACCATGAACAGGAGATCCTTCCTCAGCAAACAGACAGGGTTCAAGATCCTTCAGAGAACTTCTTCCCTCAAGTCGTGCAAGTAGCTTTTAAAGAAAAGACAGAAGAGACATGCTGTTAACTCAAAGTAATACACCTTGGGAATCATATTTAAAGGATTCTGAGAACTGGGAGTTTTCTATGACAGCCCTACCAAAAGATTAGTCTGATCTTTAAAATATTTGCATAAATACGTATGATCACTTACAGTCGGGACTACAGCAACAGAAGGTTCCATCTTTACAATTAGCTCACAGATTCAATGGCAATAAGGAGCAGATACACATTAGGGGAAAAAAGCTGAAAAAAAAAGAAAAAAGCTGCACGGGTAGACTAGAAAGAGGGATTGCCTCTGGTATACAGCAGTGCTGACATTTGACAGAACAAAAGGAAAGAAAATCATCTGTAATAATCATCACCTCCACAACAAACTACTGGTTGAGAGGTGAAACATCAGACATCATTAGTCTCCTGAGTCAGTTCCTCTGAGCATTTATAAGTAAAAGCAGGTACATTTCATCTGAAAAGCTATACAGGACTCTTCTGGACTACAATCCTATTATATCATAGTTACTTGTTCAAACAGAGTATGGATTAAGAATGATCAAAAATAATTAGCCACCAGTGGCTCTGCAAAAACTTTTCTAAAGCAAGCTCAAATTTGTAAAGTAAGTTCCACCAAATCCCCTTGTAAAGCAAGTCTATTGTAAAACAAATTAGTCCAAAGTTCATAGACAGTTTCTTAAATTGACAGGTATTTGCATAGCAAGCGGACAGCTATTCACATAACTTGTGTTATTCGTCGTTCTGGCATACATTCGTAAACCAAGAACGAACATTTCAGCCAGCGCTAGAGCTGCTATTCCCTACATGTATTAACACACAGAGGAAAGGACACTATGAGGATGCTCAGAGTATTGCCAGAGCACATACTCTGGTACCAAGTATCTCATTCTCCAAGAGACCCAGCTGTCATTTAAAGATTTAAACAAAACAAATCCCATTCAGTTGTATCCCATCCTCCTTAAAGCCAGTCACCAAACCAGCAGCAAGCACACACCTTTAAACACATGCTGCGTTATCTTGCTTTCCTCCCTGCCCCATCAGTGAGCAACATTTGCTCTGAATTGTCTTAAAAGTTGAACAGTTGTGTGTGTGTTTGCCTTTAATAGAATAAAACTCCATTAAATGGCCCTGAATTCACTTCAAGTGGTCACGACGGGAATCTAAATGTGACATTTTCATTGACATTTTAACATTCCCTGCCATTAACAAAATGTCAATGTGTTTGCCTTTGTTCGCCTGTTCACATGTATTCAGGAGTTTTCTGTCACGTCCACTGAAGGGCCATAAAACCACTTGAATCGATCTTATTCTGGATCTGCAGATCCTCCCATTACGTATCACACATTTGTGCAGCGCAGAAAACACTCACACAGCGAACTTGAATATTTTGGGAACCAACAGAGTTCTGGGACCTGGACAAAGTAATAATCCAGATGGACATATGTACACAAGAAAACAGGAAAAGGAATCTCAGGGCACATAAACCAGGAGCTTGTAACTACCAAAAGGGCCACGGCAGACCCTACGCGTGCAGCCCTCCTGTGCAAGCGGCTGCCCGTGCCTGGCCCTCGGCGAGGAGAGGCTGCACCCGCCGTGGAGAAGGGCCGAGAATCTCTCACCCCCTCATCCGGCAGTGGAAGTCGAGAGAAACAGGAAAACCGCCACAGGCTGCTGCTTTCTGATGCTCTTCATTTCTCTGCAAAGGAAGCACCACTCTGGCACTTGGCGATTATGGGGACTTGATTACAGGCGCTGCTAGGGGCAGGGAGTCACAACTCTCGCTGGTCTAAACATACTTTTGCAGCTTCCTGCTCCCAAATTTATTTGTACATTAACAATACATCCTCTGCAGTTTATTTCTTCTGGAAACGATAAACCCTCGTCTCTTCTTAGACTACCACCTCTTTAAGCTTACTGCTGGAGCTTTGGAAATACAGGGTAGATTGATGGCCATCGTTTACATATGAATCTGCGGTTATTTAAGTGACAAGTTTATATATTCACTTTAAATAACTACAGGTGCTTACTCTGAGCACTGCTCATGTAGGTAATTTATGGTGATTCACTGATGATAGCACACCTGTGTTTTTATCAAACTTGTATTTACTTCCGAGTTCTGAAGCAGAATCTCCAAAGGCACTTGCCTCATTAGTGTCACGCAGGGAGCAGTGGGGTTCCTGGCAGAAACAGCTAACAATTTTCCTTCAAATCTCACAAAGGTTTGTCCACGCTACAGTAGAAGTGACGGAAGCAAAGCAGAGATGACACACTAGACAGGCAGCCCTCACCTCTGCCAAAATTAAACACAGAGACAATACAGGTTTTGGCAAAAGCCACCTTGGCTCTGTTCCAGAGGCGGCATTTCCATTTTGCCCTCTCACATTTTGTTCTGTAAAATGGAGGGGGGTGTGGAATCTAGAGCATTTAAAGGGTGATCTGGATGGTGGACATCAGGCATGCTGGGCTTTGTTATGGACAGCATACAGAACTCAGTAGCACAGCCCAGCTGGAGAGAGCCTTTGAGTGGGAAGAGCTTGGAAAAAATCCCCCAAAACCATTCCAAATCATGTATCAGAGACTTCAGATTCTAGAATTTAACTGTAGATACTTGTTTTTTCTTTCATAATGCTCTTCTTTTATACAAAATACCACCTTTTAGCCACTTGCTAGTGGTAGGTCTTCGGTGTTCTTCAAAAGTGTAATTGTGCTAGCAAGAAACTGCATATGCCCAGTGACATGTAGAAAACAAGCTATACAGCAAGAGTTCAGCAACAGCTGAGTTAAACTTCATTAATGACAAGGCTGATGGGACTCAAATATTTCAAATACGTCTTTTATAATTTATCAATTTCACCTTTTTAAGAAAGAAATGTGCATATAGACAGTCCCAGTAATACATTATATGCTTATACCATACTGCTTTCAACAAAGCTATGCCTAAATACAAGCATACATGTAGGTCTTGTCAGGAATGAGATATTACTTCATTAAAATATTAAAGAAATTCAAATTAAATACTCCAGCTCTGTTAGAGGCTGTGAGCTAACCTACAGGCTATTTACACATACAAGCCTATCATCTCGAGTATGATATAAAATTTAATTTTCAACCACTATAACCACTCTGACTGAGCTTTTGTAAACTTTGGGCACGAAGACATATGCAAGCAATTTATCATTTATTTCATTGTGATATACCGAAGGTGTTTTGCAAGAAGTTCTAATTTGTTGTATTAATTATATTCAATAATAAGAGTTCAAGACTGCGGTCTCAGTGTAACTCCGTAAAATATGATCTTATGCATGAGGCTATTTGAGGAAGTGTTGTTTTTTATCAACGTTTTCTGTTTCAAGGGCTTTTACCATTTTTTCTGGAAGTGTACTTGTAGGCTAACCTTTCTTAACCCATTGGTTATCAACTCCTCCCTCGTTTGATTATCCATTCCATCACGGGCAGTTGCTGCCATGTGCGTTCCCTGTTGGCACCTCTCATGTGGACAAATAAATGCATTTACTCACTTGGACACAGAGCACAACGCCATGCCCTTCATTTGTGTATGTTTGCTGATAGTGGGCAGCTGTTACTGTTGGTTTTTAAAGTGTCAAAAGGGCTTAAGGACTCAAGTCCACCGAAAATTCGTGCAGCTTTAGTAAGAAATAAGTAAGAATTATCACACGTTTCTGTTTTTATGTGCACTACTCAGCATATGCTGATAGAGTAACACACAAACCTCCAAGTAATTAAGCTGCTGATTGCAAGCAAAAGTCACTAGCAGATGAAGCATCCAGCAGGGAAAAAAATCCCAACCAACAGAACCCCAAAACTCCAACCCCCTTTCTCCGCAGAACAGGAAAGCAATTCCACCTTCCATACTGTTTACTGAAACCAAACCTTCCTCACAGCTCTTCTTCCATACCGCATCCACTCCAACGGTTGGGAGGGGGTGCGCGAAGAAAACACGTACACGGGAATTACTGAAACACCGGGACAAGCTCCGGCCGCGCTGCAGGGGAGCGCCCCAGAGCCGCAGCCGGGCACACAAAGGCAGGGAGAGCCCCCCGCCGCCCTCACCCCGGCTG